GTTCATCATTTTCAGTGCAATGCGTGCTTTTATAGGACCAACAAATAGACACTATTTATGAAACAAAACCAAGAATTAGGCGCTATTTCTAAAACTAAACCAATAGGTGGAAACTATTTATGAAACTGAAACAAGAACTAGACTATTTATGAAACATGACCAAGAACTAGGCACTACTTATGAAAGTGGACCAATAACTAGAGACTATTTATGAAACTGTACCAATTACTATACATTATTTATGAAATTGGACCTAACTAGGCACTATTTATGAAACAAGTGCAAGAACTAGACACTATTTATGGAATTGGACCAATAAATAGTGTAGTACCATTCAGTTTTATAAATAGTGTTTAGTTTCATAAACATTGTCTATGATGGATGCGCGTCAAGTTTTTTTTATACTAAAATTCCATTATTTTCTTTAAATTTAAGTTTTTTTGTCCTTTTTATTAAAATTTAAGGGTATTTCATTAATATTTAATTCTTTTTTCTTAAATAAAGTTATAGCATCATTTTTTTGTTAAAATAAACTTAACTCAAGCCATTTTCATGAAAGCTCCCTTAATTTAATAGGAGAAATTAGGTTATCATCCCTCTTTTTGCTACTCCATTGATTAAAACCTTTTCCCTTTGCAATTTTTGATCAAGGTCCTTAGGTTTTAATAAACGTCATTAATTATTTCAATAATAAAATATTTTTTATTTCTAAATGTATTCATTTAGTGTTACAAATATTACATTTGGTATATTTACATTTATGGCTAACTTTTTTGTCATAAATTTTTATTTTTGGTTTGTACCCTTTTTTAATTTGCAACCCTTTTTACTTTGTACCAATTTTCTTTTCAGTTTATTATGTACCCATATATTAATTTCATTTTATGTCCATATTTTTTAAGGTTTTATTTGTACTTGTTCCCATAATTTTTTTTTATTTGTACTCATTTTTAATGTTGCTAAATGTACCCATGCTAATTATATGTATTTATTTTATGTTTTAAAATATATTAGTTGTTATTTTTTAAAATATGTTAATAATTATGTAGGTGTTGCAGTCATATTTAGAATAGGAATGTGATTGTGTAAATCCTAGGAGATATGGGAAAGTATCTTATATTCCTATTAGGACTAGATTACCTATTAAATGTTGTAATCCTAAAGGGAAAGGTTTTTACCTATCTTACTACTATAAATAAAGGCACAATGGGGTGAATCAAACACACCTCACAGTTAAATCATTCTCTCTTCTCTCTTATTGTGGCCGGCTCCCCTCTTTCTCTCTCTAAACCCTAGATCGTTCAATCAAATAGGCCTACAACACATTATCAGCACTATTGCCAGAAGCTGAGGAATTGACGCATCGTAGGAGGAGTCTTTCATCCACTAAATTCAAAGGCTTATTTGTTTTCAACTACTCAGGTACGCTTAAAATAAAAGAAGATATTTGAAACATCCACGAATCATGAAAACATTCCCCATGATGCATGAACCCCTCTATGTTTATATTTTCCTTTCGATATATATATATATATATATATATTGCATATGTTTATATATTTGTCAATATATCAATATATATATATATATATATATATTTGTTTCATGCATCGCACAATTAAATTGTTATGTGGAATTTGTGAGTCAAACTATACAAAATAAATTAGAAGCATACCTGAAATAAAAATGGGGATTGGACATGGTGGTGCTTCCACAGTGATGGTGAGGTGGTATGCCGCACCATGTCAAATCACCATCATGGTGGTATGCCACACCAAAACTGTGGAAGTAGCCACCAGGTCTTGCCTTGGCATTCACCTCGGCAGGACCTAAAGTCTCATGCCCATCTTGCTGCATTGGCCCAACCATGACACCAGCCTTTATGAGGCTGGGCCTTCACTTGAACCCACATGCCAGCCCACGGGGCTGGGTTTTTGTGATTTCGTGCATCACCCACAAAGCCAGCTCCTGTTGGGCCTTGTCCCGTGCACCATTCTTCGGCCCAAACGAAAACCCAGCTGCGGCTGGGGGATTTTTTTTCCACCCCATCGCCTGCAGCCATGGCCTGAGGTCCTTTTTTTTGGGCTTTGCCTTATAGTTAAGGCACCAACCTATGCCCCTTACCCACGGCACCAAGCCCAAATTATCCTAAAGGGAAAGGTTTTTACCTATCCTACTATTATAAATAAAGGCACAATGGGGTGAATCAAACACACCTCACAATTAAATCAATCTCTCTTCTCTCTTATTGTGGCCGGCTTCCCTCTCTCTCTCTCTCTCTAAACCCTAGATCATTCAATCAAATAGGCCACAATAGGTACATTATTCTCTTGCTATAATTTTGTGAAGAACAATATTACTCTAATATTTATTTCGAAGTATTTATTATATTTTAAAAATATATTTTATTTTGTTTAAATTTCATAATTTTTGGGACATTAAATGCATAAATGCATGAGTTAAATCTCTTAAATGATGTTAATGACCTCAATCAAAATATTAAACAAACAAGGTTTTAGTGAAACAATTAGGTTGATTAAGGACGGGAACCAAAATGACCCTAATACTAAAAATGAACTAGCAACTGCTAATTAAGAAAACACTATTTGAATTCAAGCAGTCTACATTTTTTTTAAATAATTTGAAAACTTGGTTATATATGGGTCCCAACAGTTCCAAATGAAAGCCTGGTTAAACTCTATGCATCAACTCTCTCCATGATTTTTTTCCACCTTATGGTAATTCTCTGTTATTTCACGATGCATTTATTTTCACATTCCAAAATCTTTCCAAAGTCTTTGTTATTTTACATTCAACATATAAAGATTGGTCTCCACGCCACCTCTTAAGATATACATTGGTGATCTTCTTCAAACATTCGTTAAACCGCGTGTGTTGGGGAAGATTATTTTCTGCATGGATCGATGGCCTTGAACATTTATTGTGTAATATTATATGAAATCTCAGAAGGCTTGAAAGTCAATATATTACCGAAAAGGAAGTTTCAATATATATCACAGAGAAACTTCGGAAGATAAGAATGGAGGGAAAATATTAACAGATATTCCCCATACAATTTGAATCTCCACATATATATTAAATTATATAAAAATGTCGGCCTTGTCAGAAATTTGTTTTCCTTTTCGAGGATTTTTTCCGAACCCCCAACGCTTCTCAGCTCATCAGACAACTCGGTCAGCATTCAGGATGTATATAGAAAAAAAAAGGAGTTACAATTACAACAAATAGCTGCGTTTACATTTGCAGTTACGTGGAAACGAAACTGCTAGATACGAGCCCGTTGTCTATAAATACATTTCCAACATATTCAATGCAAAAGCCACAACTTGATCTCCTCCTTCGTATACCTTCTGTAAACAAGTTTAATCAAGTTTACCATTAGCAGCTATGTCTTCTAGTAAGAAATTTGATGCAGCAACGGTCATTTATCCTGGCCCGAAACGCGGTTCGTCGTCCCATTCTCAGAGTGGTGGAGGTCCGAATCCACCAAAGGTTCAGGGTGCTCTAGCAAGGGACAAGAAGAAATCTGGGTAAAGCTGGCGAAAAATCATATATGCATGGCTGCTACAAAAATTTCATCAAGATAAATAAGTACATTATTTTCTTAGGTTCAATTAGTATTATTTTATTGTGAAAATGGGTGGATTTGCTAAGAACAAATCCCACTTAGGATGTAACAGAAGAAATAAATTAGTATATTCTTTTATTTTGTTCCACAGTCGATGTTTCTTAATTGATTATTTTTAGTAATTCATGAATATTCTCATTGATGATGTTTATACCACATTTTAATTTTGAGACTCGACTATTCCACAGGAAAATATCAAATATGTAAATGAATTATGAAATGCATTCAGCATGTGAATCACATTTAACAATATGTAAAATAAAAATAAAATAAATTTTACTTTTTTATTTAAAAACGATACAAATAATTTAAATTCAGAATGTAATAATCTGATGATAAACACTTTACCCATAAATATAAATTTTTTCCATGGCATCCTGGTTCTCGTTCGGCTGCCAATACATTTCTGTACCTGTAAAAATACACAGGAGTAGGAAGTAAGAAAAATAAAAAAATAAAAAAATAAAAAATAAAAAAACTAAAAGCTGGAAGTACAGAATACGTGGCGCAACTCCCGATGCGTTTAGAACTTTCCACCAACACATCATCCCTTCCGTTCCCTTTAACTCTGTCACAACAACGATCTTTACTTTCTGCCGCCAAATCCGACCCCTTCACATCCGCGCCGTTATTCTCATACCGCTCAATCCTCTCTCTCCTCTTTCTCTCTCAGCTTTAGGCGGAAGAAGATGAAGACCTCCCTCGCACTGTGAAACCCTAAAAGGAACGAAATGGTAATTTTCAGCGACTTTTCCTTTCTCTTTCGTTCGCTCCAGCAGTTTGGAAATCCTAGGTTTTTTCTGCAATTTATATTTCCATTATTGAACTTTAATGCTTATTTTTCCTAAGGTTTCTTCAATTTTATGATTTTTAAGAATAATTGAATTTTGTTTCTTCTTTTTTTTTTTTTTTTTTTTTTTGTTGTTGTATGTAGTTGTTAGGTTAATGATTACTTTAGTTTGCTCTTAACTCTCTTTTTTTTTATTTGTTCATGATTTTTGTTTTGGTTTTTGAATTTGAAATTTAGGGGAGTGGTTGGTTTAGATGTTAATTTTGCGGACTTAGTTTGCTTCATAGTATAATATGTAGAAACACATCATGTTAGAAACCGAATAATTGTTCCATTAATTGAATACAACAGATGATGTTGCAGTAATTAGATACAGGTAATTATGATGCAGTGTTGATTTTCCCTTGCCTTTCGTAAGGATGAGCTGTTCTTGGATTCTCTACTTAGATGATTAGGTTGCGGCTATTAAACATGAAGGATAGACTAAATCTTGTTTATTTTCTGTCTTCCAAAAGAGTGAAATTCCGGCTCACAGTGAGGACATATGCTATCTGGACGATCATGGGGTCAGTTTGCTGTGTTGCTAAGAAGAAAAGAACCCACCCAAATCGAATTGAAGGTGAAACATTGCGCAGGAATGCCATATGTTCACCGTCATGGAATTTTCAATGGGATAATCGACAGCGTGTTTCTAGTGAAATTGGTACTCCATATCAAGTCTCTCATGGAATCAGTACTAATGATAGCATGGAGTTAAAAGGTGCATTAAGTTCTGAAAGGGGTAATTTCTCAGATCTGGGAAGCCCACTGGAGAATTTTGGAACACCTATATCTCAAAAGTCCCCTCTTCATGGAGGAACAGGTACAAATCTGAGTCCATCTCCAAGTAACGTTACTCCCGCTTTGGTAAATGAAAGCTTCTGAACTTCCTACTTTTCATCATGAGATTAATTTACATAAGATTGAATGTAGTGAATACCTAATGACCTCTTTTACTTGGTTTATAAACTATTAGATCAGAAATGCCTGTAAAAATGAAAATTTAACTTTGCAATCCTCAGTGTGATGCAAATTGCACAGTGGTATCATGTTTGCATTGATAGGACTTTTTGATAGTCCTGAATTGATCTTTTCTTGGTATTTGTGAACACTTTGAAGAACAACACAGTAGCCTTATACCAAATATATGCCTATCTCTGCTTCTTAGTTTTCTACTTTACATATCATCAAAATAAGATAAAGAAAGCTCAAATGTACAATTTTTTTCTGTCAAAATAGAAATTCTGGATGTGTCTTTGTTTTATGGATCGATAGCGTTTGTCTTAACAGAACATTTATCTTAAATTTTGAGGACATATTTCTATTTTCTTTTATTTTGAGCACATGTTAAGAAAGGACATTGATAACCTGCAGTTCCTTGTTTTACAATTATTTGTCCAGTGGAAAATTGGTAGCCCTCACGATGAGGTCTTTGGATGCTTGCTTGTGATGTTTTGCGCATGCACACACTTATCAGACATACTTCCATTTTATGTTAGGTAGTCACATAAGTTTAATCGTTGGATTGCTGGCATTTGTTGCTTCATTTGTTTGTGATTTACTGACCTGAGTATGTGCATTTTGCAGATATATCCATTGCAAGAAATTATTCTCCAGATGTGAGTTTGACTCCATTAAAACTAGACGTGTTATACTGGGTTTTATGCATTGTTGTGTGATGCTCTAGCCCTTTACCCATTGTCATTAGATTGTGTTGACCTCTTTCCATTTGCATTTCAGGTGAAGAGTTTGACAGAATCACCGGCAATTGCAAATTCATTTGCATCAAATGTTTCGTTGTCCATGCCTACAAATTTATCAATACCAACTGCAGAACCATCATGTACCCCTAGCTATCCACTATTTCCCAACTCAACCCCATCAAGACGAGCCCGTCGTTCACCAGGACATGAGCTGTTGAGACAGGTTTCTGATAGTCGGCTATTGGGATTAAAATCTCCAAATAACAACTCAATATCTGAAGGAAGACAATCATTTGTACTCTCTACTTGCAGCAATGACATGGCGCCTGGATCTCTAGGTGGGTCCTCTGATGGCTGGTCTATGCGTACCTTTTCTGAGCTCGTGGCCTATTCTCAAAGGGAAAGATGGTCTTCTGACATTGTATGGTCGGAGAGAAGCAAGTATTAAAGATGTCGAGAAAAGCTTTGAGAGCCGAAGCAGAGCTCAAAGCCAAAAACCTTAAGATATCAAAAAATAGAGTTGTACATAGCTACTTTGATGATGATTACGATGTTTTTGAGCATCAGAAGAATGCCGATAGGAAAGTAAAAGTATCTAAGATGGAACCCAGTTACAGCATTCGGAACAACTCTGCGAAACCTTTCTTGAAATGGCACTTCTCGCTTGGGTCAAGGTGGAGTAGATCCCTATCAGAAAACGATTATGCTAGGAAGAAGTGGTTCTGGACCAGACATCGCAAAGATTGAGCTCCCGAACCCCAGTTGGTAAGGAAGAGGCAAGCAGAAGTCTAATTATAGATGTTATACCAGCACCATTAGGTTTTTTTCTTCTGGAATTTGTAGTCTAAATTCGATAATAAATTCAGTTTCATTTCAAAAGTTCCTTTTCGCAGAATTCCCAGATATCTGTCGTAAAAACCATGCCTGTGCGTACTTCCGTGTCTGCGAATTCATCAATTGTTGTCATGGGTTCGGAGAAAGATGGAATCCAATTCCTCGTACGTTGTTCTGAATGTGGTAGAATCTAGTTTTGCAGTTGCAACTGTTTTAGTTAAGAGAGCTTTTTCGGCGATTAATCAAAGGTTAAGTAGAGCTTGGTTATTTACGAGAGATGTTATTGTTTGTATTGATGATGGAACCACAATGCGACATTTTTAGAATATGGACGATGATATTGTAGCTTGTAAATTTGTAACGTTGTTTCTTCCATGGAATAATGATAGAACTGTTTAATTTTTTCGGGTGTTACAGATTTGGATCCGCTGTGGGTATGGTAATGTGGGCGAGGGATTTACTAAGAACCTCATTGGAACTCCTGTGGACTCCGCTAGCTCCTCCCATCGACATGGTCAAGAGGTGCATTGTTCTGCATTTTCCCGCTTTTCTCGATTCCATCTAGAAGAAATTTGGGTTGCTGGAACTCAAAGTAGAGAGAGATTATAGTTCAATCCGAGCAAAAACCATAGGACTCTTAGTTTTATTATTCAGCTTATTAGCCTGACACTACACCAAAGGTTTCACTATTCTTATATTGATGGTAGAAAAACTATGGGGTAGAGTAAGATACTGGGCAGCCCTTCTGGGCATTGTTTTCGAATGAGTTTAGGGATTATTCTCCTTCCCATTAGCGTGGGATATCTTAGCTAGTTTTGCTAGATGGAGGATTTCTTTTGTAATTTATGTTATTGTCTAAATAACTTGTTATCGTTTCTTATGACAATAAATAAGAGAGGTTTTTTCCTCCCCATTGTCAGCTCTCAATAAGAGAGAATTTTTTTTTTTTTTTAAGAGAAAGATTCCAAATTGAATTACATTTATCAGTTTTATTTCTGTGATGTTGTTTCCTAGCAGTAGTAGCCAAGATGATGAGTGATTTTTCAATATGCCCCGAACACGGGGTGGTATATCACGTGTCTCTATACAAGTAGTGAGATTCTTGTATTAAAAAATAAAGTTTCTCACCACTTACATCATAACGGGTGGTGTACTACTTCTCTTATGGGCATAAGGAAAAATTCTTCAAGATGACACCCAAGTTAAAGAAATTGGATGGAGAGCTACATTTAATTATAGGTATGTAAAAAATGTGAGAGAATTTTAATTTGGTAATTGTAAACAGCTTTTAAATATAATTACTAATGACATAATCATTTATGGGTTCATCATTTTAGGTGCAATACGTGCTTTTATCGGACCAAAAAAGGTCTAAGTTTTAAACCTTATGAAAGTTAACTAAGAATTAGACACTATTTATAAAACTTGTCCAATAAGTAGATATTATTTGTGAAACTGGACCAATAAGTAGACACTATTGATGAAACTAGACCAACAATAGACACTATTTATGAAATGAAACCAAGAATTAGGCACTATTTCTAAAACTAAACCAATAGGTGGAAACTATTTATGAAACTGGAACAAGAACTAGACACTATTTATGAAACATGACCAAGAACTAGGCACTACTTATGAAAGTGGACCAATAACTAGAGACTATTTATGAAACCAGATCAAGAAAGAGACTATTTATGAAACTGTACCAATTACTATACATTATTTATGAAATTGGACCTAACTAGGCACTATTTATGAAATATGTGCAAGAACTAGACACTATTTATGGAACTAGACCAATAAATAGTGTAGTACCGTTCACTTTCATAAATAGTGTTTTAGTTTCATAAATAGTGTTTAGTTTCATAAATAGTGTATGTGATGGATTCGCGTCAAATTTTTTTACATTAAAATTGTGTCATTTTCATTAAAATTTAAGTTCTTTTGTCTTTTTTTTATTAAAATTTAAGGGTATTTCATTAATATTTAATTCTTTTTCCTTAAATAAAGTTATAGCATCGTTTTTTGCTAAAATAAACTTAGCTCAACCCATTTTCATGCAAGCTCCCTTAATTTAATAGGAGAAATTAAGTTCTCATCCCTCTTTTTGTTACTCCATTGATTAAAACCTTTTGCCCTTTGCAATTTTTGATCAAGGTCCTTAGGTTTTAACAAACGTCATTAATTATTTCAATAATAAAATATTTTTTATTTCTAAATATATTCATTTAGTTTTACAACTATTACATTTGGTATATTTATATTTTTGGCTAAATTTTATTTTTGGTTTGTACCCATTTTTAATTTGCAACCTTTTTTTACTTTGTACCAATTTTCTTTTCAGTTTATTATGTACCCATATATTAATTTCATTTTATGTCCATATTTTTTTAAAGTTTTATTTGTATGTGTACCCATATTTTTTTTATTGTACTCATTTTTAATGTTGCTAAATGTACCATGCTAATTATATGTATTTATTTTATGTTTCAAAATATATTAGTAGTTATTTTTTAAAATATGTTAATAATTATGTACGTACATTATTTTCTTGCTATAATTTTGTGAAGAACAATATTACCCTAATATTTATTTTGAAGTATTTATTATATTTTAAAAATATTATTTAGTTTGTTTAAATTTCATAATTTGTGGGACATTAAATGCATAAATGAATGAGTTAAATCTCTTAAATGATGTTAATGACCTCAATCAAAATATTAAACAAACAAGGTTTTAGTCAAACAATTAGCTTGATTAAGGACGGAACCAAAATGACCCTAATATTAAAAATGAACTAGTAACTGCTAATTAAGAAAACACTATTTGAATTCAAGCAATCTGCATTTTTTTTTAAAATAATTTGAAAACTTGGTTTTATATGGGTCCCAACAGTTCCAAATGAAAGCCTGGTGAAACTCTATGCATCAACTTTCTCCATGATTTTTTTCCACCTTACGGTAATTCTCTGTTATTTCACGATGCATTTATTTTCACATTCCAAAATCTTTCCAAAGTCTTTGTTATTTTACATTCAACATATAAAGATTGGTCTCCACGCCACCACTTAAGATATACATTGGTGATCTTCTTCAAACATTCGTTAAACCGCGTGTGTCGGGGAAGATTATTTTCTGCATGAATCGATGACCTTGAACATTTATTGTGTAATATTATATGAAATCTCAGAAGGCTTGAAAGTCAATATATTACCGGAAAGGAAGTTTCAATATATATCACAGAGAAACTTCGGAAGATAAGAATGGAGGGAAAATATTAACAGATATTCCCCATACAATTTGAATCTCCACATATATATTAAATTATATAAAAATGTCGGCCTTGTCAGAAATTTGTTTTCCTTTTCGAGGATTTTTTCCGAACCGCCAACGCTTCTCAGCTCATCAGACAACTCGGTCGGCATTCAGGATATATATATAAAAAAAAGGAGTTACAATTAAAACAAATAGCTGCGTTTACATTTGCAGTTACGTTACCGTAATTTCTTGGTAGTTCTATGGAAACCAAACTGCTAGATACGAACCCGGTGTCTATAAATACATTTCCAACATATTCAATGCAAAAGCCACAACTTGATCTCCTCCTTCGTATACCTTCTGTAAACAAGTTTAATTAAGTTTATCATTAGCAGCTATGTCTTCTAGTAAGAAATTTGATGCAGCAACGGTCCTTTATCCTGGCACGAAACGCGGTTCGTCGTCCCATTCCCAGAGTGGTGGAGGTCCGAATCCGCCAAATGTTCAGGGTGCTCTAGTAAGGGACAAGAAGAAATCTGGGTAAAGCTAGTGAAAAATCATATATGCATGGCTGCTACAAAAATTTCTTCAAGATAAATAAGCACATTATTTTCTTAGGTTCAATTAGAATTATTTTATTGTGAAAATGGGTGGATTTGCTAAGAACAAATCCCACTTAGGATGTAACAGAAGAAATAAATTAGTATATTCTTTCATTGTGTTCCACAGTTGATGTTTCTTAATTGATTATTTTTAAGAATCTAGTAATTCATGAATATTCTCATTGATGATGTTTATACCACATTTTAATTTTGAGACTCGACTATTCCACAGGAAAATATCAAATATGTAAAGGAATTATGAAATGCATTCAGCATGTGAATCGCATTTAACAATATGTAAAATAAAAATAAAATAAATTTTACTTTTTTATTTAAAAACGATACAAATAATTTAAACTCAGAATGCAATAATCTGATGATAAACGCTTTCCCCATAAATATAAATTTTTTGCATGGCATCCTGGTTCTCATTCGGCTGGCAATATATTTCTGTACCTGTTAAAATACACAGGAGCAGGAAATAAGAAATAAAAAAAAAAAAAAAAAAAAAAAAAAAACTAAAAGCCGAAAGTACAGAATACGTGGTGCAACTCCTGATGCGTTTAGAACTTCCCACCAACACATAATCCCTTCCGTTCCCTTTAACTCTGTCACAACAACGATCTTCACTTTCTGCCGCCAAATCCGACCCCTTCACATCCACGCCGTTATTCTCATACCGCTCAATCCTCTCGCTCCTCTTTCTCTCTCAGCTTTAGGCGGAAGAAGATGAAGAACTCCCTCGCACTGTGAAACCCTAAAAGGAACGAAACGGTAATTTTCAGCGACTTTTCCTTTCTCTTTCGTTCGCTCCAGCAGTTTGGAAACCCTAGGTTTTTTCTGCAATTTATATTTCCATTCGCCAGTGTACGGATCGGACGGCTAGCTGCTGCCGAGGTCTAAGAACTGCTGGGCGTATTTCAACACTTACTGCGAGTTGGATCAGTGGTCGTGGAACTGAGCCCTGTGCGGAAACCCTCAGGGGCTTTCGTCTCAGGCCATTGCTTGATACTCCCACCCTGAGTCTTGCCCCGAGACGATGTCCTCGTTCGTAGATCTGGAGCTTCCTGGTTGGTCATTTGCCCACACTTTCTTTCGATTTCTCTTTCTGTTTAGTTGCCGAGAAAATGAACTTTGAATTTTCCAATTTTTCAGTGCTAATATGATTTCTCTTTCAGTTTGTTTGCCGATAAAATGCGCTTCGAATTTCAAATATTTCAGTGATAATTTGTATTTTTGCTTTTTCTTATTCTCCTATTGTGCAGGAAAAGAGTCGGATGAAGCAATGCAACCTCGCCCGGTTTATGTTAGTTCCTTATATTTTTGAGCTATTTACGTTGTTTTCGTGTTTTGTAGGATTTGTCAAGCAAAGAAAAGAAAAATAGCATAAGTGAGATTTTAAGTAACAAATTCGTCAAAACTGCCTGTGCGGATTAGCTGACTTTGGAAGCAAGTTGCGGACAGCTCAGAATGAACTAGAGAATGAGCCTTATATGCTTGGAAAGCTATGGATGTCTATTTTCTAGAGCATTTTGCGGATTGTTAATATCATTTTTCTAGAAGAAGTTATGGCTATTTTAACACCAAAATGTTCCCAAGGCTGAGCAGTTTGTAACTGACAAGAAAGCATTGAAAGCAATAAATCCAATAAATCTAGCAGCCAAAACTGATGCAGTCAAGAACAAACCAGTTGACACCTATTCAAATATCAAAGGAAATGGAATTAAAGATGAGGATTAACAGAGAGTATTTGGCATAAAGGCTACCCAAGGAGTTACAATTATTTTACCATTTCCTCTCACTTATTGTCATCACTAAATGTCTATTAGTGGGTGAGTTAAGGAGAAGAAAATGATGCAGCAAGAATTGGTTTAAAAGTAGCGTTGGGGAAGGAAGGAAAGAAGAGGCCTCAGTTGATTTCTTTTGGTTCTATTTTCTCAAACTCATGTCTATCTTTTGTTTTAACTTAAGGATTGTGTAACTAAATTTTTAGTAGTTAGGGGCTGTTTGATGCCCCGAATATGATTGCAAGTTTGTTATGACATTTCGT